CAGGAATTCCAATGGAATATACGGTGAGATTTCCTAATTCAATAATTGATCTTCCAGTGGAATTTTATTTCTTTTGTTGTTATACGTTGATATGCATGTTGCAACTTTAGTGAAATTTGGTGTATATGTGTTTTGTTTTGTTTTTAGACACCAGACGCTGTCATAAATTGCTGTTAGCTGCTTTAAAACTGTTCTATTAAACTTTTTTTTTTGAGTGTTGCATGCACATGCAGGCTGTTCTGCACTTTTTGACAAAAAATAAGGGCAAATTTTAGCGCTAAAATTAGAAATTTTATAACTAAATTAGGGCAGTTTTAGACATTTAAATGGACGTACCTTCGCAAATTTGACAATAAAGAAACTCACAAAACATACCTTAAGTACAGGAAGGGTGTCTTCCAGGGTTCCATTGTCTCAGCTATTATTGGCTATAATCTGAAATATACAGAATGATGTAATTATTTTCTTATTGAGAGAACTGGTACCACATTTTAAAAAGAAGATTGTCATAGAATTTAAGAAATTGGCAATCTAATTAAGAAGTACACAATCCTGTTATATATCAATGACACTCATTAAGTTGTTGCAAGGAAACATCACAAAGTGACATATGTGTAAATTATGTCAAAATTGAAATTGACCTCCATTTTGTTATAATTAATCAACATAATAAAGTTTTTGAAAAGATCCATCAACCATAGTTCATGTTATTGTACGGAAAGTGAAATGTAAATGGATGGAAGGACACCATTAATACTTTATGCTGCCACTATTTAAAATGAAATTCATAGGCTCCTTTTTGAACTGTTGATTTCCATAGAGGGTACAATTCTGCATCTCATGCTCTGACAGCAGAGGCTGAAGCAGGCCAAGAGCAAGGTTTTCAGCATTTTTTGAGGACTTCAAAATCCTCCCCAACACTTCCTTTTCTATTCTGATGCCATATTTGGCAGCTCCAACAAATTCCAATTCTGCAACAACAAAAAAGAGCTTTCAAAAGCCTAGCTATAATAAACAAGAGGCTATCAAGAGCCTGAATCGACCACCTGTAGTTTTTTGCATTAATCTTTCATCAATGATTGTTTTTGCTTTTCATTTCTGTCATATTTGCTTCAAAAGCAAAAAAAAAAATGTAAAAAAATCCATATTTTAAGGGCAATAACTCCTATATAATTATAGCTAGATATAGGTCCAGTTGATGGGGTTCAAATTTGTGACATGGAAATTTAAAGCTGCATCAGTTACAAAATTCAAACCTGGATATCCCAAAATTGAAAATGGTGGCCTTGGTCTTAACTTAAATAATACCTACCAACACTTGGACATTTAGCCACAGATTTCTCAGATACTTTCTTGGTAGCAGCTGTACCTGTTAAAGAATGTTATTAAATTCATAAATTTCCTGCTCAAAAATATACATATGTATAACAGCTCAGCAGACCAAATGATTAGAAAACTATATCATAATTTAAAGAGCATATATATTATCCAGTTTTTCATCTCACAATTGTAATTTGAAGGTGGTCTGTTATGACTTTGACCTTTTATTCAATAGGTTATCTTGACAGACTTGACAAATGATGTATAAACATAGAACTTGATGTAACCCAAAAGTATGAATATGAATTTTACTTCATCTAGACAGACTGAACGCAATTATTTAAGCCAACTAGCTGTCCTGGGGTGTGTTGACACATCGCTTCGCTTTGAATGCACAGTTGGTGCTCTCTATAGGTGTTTGTCAACCTGCTGTTTTAGGGGTTTTATTGCCTTCTCATGCATTAACTCGGATATTTTCTTCTCCAGTTTCCTTCTGCAACAAAATGAATTGAACTTTGACCTTTGATTGTGAATATTAAGCAATACAAAATTTGACCTGAACATGACCTTGGCATTTCACAACTTGAACTTAACCCTTAATTAGGCTGCTACGTGCCACAATAGTGGTTTCGAAAAGTTGGGCTGTCAGTGCTGCGCACGACAATAGTGGCGCTCGGTCTGTAGGTTTTTAATCAGTAAACAGGAAGTGTGAAAGCGGACTGTTGCTATACCAAACCCGAAAGCGTATAGTAGAAGGCTTCTGTGATGAAGGGCTACCAAGTTTGTTCAAATAAATGACTTGCACCTGTTTTCAAGGTCACAGGGGTCAAATATGTTAAAAATGTTCACTGGTTCTGAATAACCAAAATGCCCAGGGTGATGATATTTGCCCAGTAACATGCTGGGATGAAGGGCTACCAAGTTTGTTCAAATGAATGACCTTCATCCATTTTTAAGGTCACAGCCCAGTGGGCACATGACGTTGTAGCAACGTTGCCATAAGGTCGGTTTCTGACGTTGGGATTTGGTTGTGGTAAGGTTGTCAGTGAAAGTTTTCTAGACGTCTTTTCCAACGTTGTGAAGACGTTGTGATATGACGTATATATAACGTATATGCAACGTTTATGTAACGTTTATACAACGTTGTTGTAACGTAATGTTATCCTAAATCAAAATTTCCTGTTGCATAAATTTACGTAATAAAGATGATTAAATCAAGCAATAAAGACAATTGATTTCAGTGTCATGACAATATTTTTATTATGACAGAAGCAGCTCCCCATCAGCCTTCTTCCTTCCACCCCCTCCTCTCCTGTCTGGGGCATACTTTAAGGCTACAGACATGGCTGTCTCTGCTGTTGTTTCTGTACATTGCATAGTACGGACTGCAGCATCTGCAATTAAATGAATTAAACCTTAATAAAATATGTTAAATTTTACGACATGAATAAATTGTTTTACAATTTTAAAACATATCAATACATTCCGAAACTTAAATGTACATTTTGCCAAAAGAGTCACATGGAGGAATATATCGGACACCAGACGCTGTCATAAATTGCTGTTAGCTGCTTTAAAACTGTTCTATTAAACTTTTTTTTTTGAGTGTTGCATGCACATGCAGGCTGTTCTGCACTTTTTGACAAAAAATAAGGGCAAATTTTAGCGCTAAAATTAGAAATTTTATAACTAAATTAGGGCAGTTTTAGACATTTAAATGGACGTACCTTCGCAAATTTGACAATAAAGAAACTCACAAAACATACCTTAAGTACAGGAAGGGTGTCTTCCAGGGTTCCATTGTCTCAGCTATTATTGGCTATAATCTGAAATATACAGAATGATGTAATTATTTTCTTATTGAGAGAACTGGTACCACATTTTAAAAAGAAGATTGTCATAGAATTTAAGAAATTGGCAATCTAATTAAGAAGTACACAATCCTGTTATATATCAATGACACTCATTAAGTTGTTGCAAGGAAACATCACAAAGTGACATATGTGTAAATTATGTCAAAATTGAAATTGACCTCCATTTTGTTATAATTAATCAACATTATAAAGTTTTTGAAAAGATCCATCAACCATAGTTCATGTTATTGTACGGAAAGTGAAATGTAAATGGATGGAAGGACACCATTAATACTTTATGCTGCCACTATTTAAAATGAAATTCATAGGCTCCTTTTTGAACTGTTGATTTCCATAGAGGGTACAATTCTGCATCTCATGCTCTGACAGCAGAGGCTGAAGCAGGCCAAGAGCAAGTTTTTCAGCATTTTTTGAGGACTTCAAAATCCTCCCCAACACTCCCTTTTCTATTCTGATGCCATATTTGGCAGCTCCAACAAATTCCAATTCTGCAACAACAAAAAAGAGCTTTCAAAAGCCTAGCTATAATAAACAAGAGGCTATCAAGAGCCTGAATCGACCACCTGTAGTTTTTTGCATTAATCTTTCATCAATGATTGTTTTTGCTTTTCATTTCTGTCATATTTGCTTCAAAAGCAAAAAAAAAAATGTAAAAAAATCCATATTTTAAGGGCAATAACTCCTATATAATTATAGCTAGATATAGGTCCAGTTGATGGGGTTCAAATTTGTGACATGGAAATTTAAAGCTGCATCAGTTACAAAATTCAAACCTGGATATCCCAAAATTGAAAATGGTGGCCTTGGTCTTAACTTAAATAATACCTACCAACACTTGGACATTTAGCCACAGATTTCTCAGATACTTTCTTGGTAGCAGCTGTACCTGTTAAAGAATGTTATTAAATTCATAAATTTCCTGCTCAAAAATATACATATGTATAACAGCTCAGCAGACCAAATGATTAGAAAACTATATCATAATTTAAAGAGCATATATATTATCCAGTTTTTCATCTCACAATTGTAATTTGAAGGTGGTCTGTTATGACTTTGACCTTTTATTCAATAGGTTATCTTGACAGACTTGACAAATGATGTATAAACATAGAACTTGATGTAACCCAAAAGTATGAATATGAATTTTACTTCATCTAGACAGACTGAACGCAATTATTTAAGCCAACTAGCTGTCCTGGGGTGTGTTGACACATCGCTTCGCTTTGAATGCACAGTTGGTGCTCTCTATAGGTGTTTGTCAACCTGCTGTTTTAGGGGTTTTATTGCCTTCTCATGCATTAACTCGGATATTTTCTTCTCCAGTTTCCTTCTGCAACAAAATGAATTGAACTTTGACCTTTGATTGTGAATATTAAGCAATACAAAATTTGACCTGAACATGACCTTGGCATTTCACAACTTGAACTTAACCCTTAATTAGGCTGCTACGTGCCACAATAGTGGTTTCGAAAAGTTGGGCTGTCAGTGCTGCGCACGACAATAGTGGCGCTCGGTCTGTAGGTTTTTAATCAGTAAACAGGAAGTGTGAAAGCGGACTGTTGCTATACCAAACCCGAAAGCGTATAGTAGAAGGCTTCTGTGATGAAGGGCTACCAAGTTTGTTCAAATAAATGACTTGCACCTGTTTTCAAGGTCACAGGGGTCAAATATGTTAAAAATGTTCACTGGTTCTGAATAACCAAAATGCCCAGGGTGATGATATTTGCCCAGTAACATGCTGGGATGAAGGGCTACCAAGTTTGTTCAAATGAATGACCTTCATCCATTTTTAAGGTCACAGCCCAGTGGGCACATGACGTTGTAGCAACGTTGCCATAAGGTCGGTTTCTGACGTTGGGATTTGGTTGTGGTAAGGTTGTCAGTGAAAGTTTTCTAGACGTCTTTTCCAACGTTGTGAAGACGTTGTGATATGACGTATATATAACGTATATGCAACGTTTATGTAACGTTTATACAACGTTGTTGTAACGTAATGTTATCCTAAATCAAAATTTCCTGTTGCATAAATTTACGTAATAAAGATGATTAAATCAAGCAATAAAGACAATTGATTTCAGTGTCATGATAATATTTTTATTATGACAGAAGCAGCTCCCCATCAGCCTTCTTCCTTCCATCCCCTCCTCTCCTGTCTGGGGCATACTTTAAGGCTACAGACATGGCTGTCTCTGCTGTTGTTTCTGTACATTGCATAGTACGGACTGCAGCATCTGCAATTAAATGAATTAAACCTTAATAAAATATGTTAAATTTTACGACATGAATAAACTGTTTTACAATTTTAAAACATATCAATACATTCCGAAACTTAAATGTACATTTTGCCAAAAGAGTCACATGGAGGAATATATCGGACACTCAAAAATGTATTAATATAAACGGTATATGAATTGTATAAAACATTAGAGTCTTAATTACCAAGCACAACTTGAAACAATTTCAGATTCTGAAATCTTAGCTTTCCTTTCTTCCCTTTAATGCTGTAGGCAGACATGGTTTCATTTGTCATCAACCTGAAATGCAACCAAAAGGGAATATTATGTTTTTGATTATATCTATGTGATCATACATGATATTGTACTTGTACCTTGGGTATGTGCTTTCCATTGGATGTTAACATTTTCAACACAAGTTTCAAAAGTGTGTTCATTTCTATTTCTAAATAAATTGATAAATATACATTGGTAAATCATCAAAATAACAATTGTATGACGTTACACAGTTTGGTTAACAGCGATTACAGATATTGAAATGTTCAAACTTACTTCTGGAGGATTTTCCTGGCATTTTCATTGATGCTGCTTTCACCAACATATGCAAGGGCCATAGTCTGAAGAAAAATGAAAATATCTTAAGTTAGAATATTTGTTTTTCCAACATAAAGACAATACAAAATTAGCTTGCAAACACCTAAAATAATATCACCAATTTGCAAATTTTAATTCTTTCACAATTATATACATGTACAATTTTCAAATACATAGAGATACATAAACGTATTTGCAGCCCTTAATTAACCTACCATTTTCAAACAGTCTTCAGGACTTTTCAACGTGTCATCGATCCTCTGTAATTCCTCGATGCTTCGCGCCTGAAAGGGAATTGTTTGAAGGTCTGATATGGCCATTTCTTTTCCCTCCCGTTGCTCATGCAGTTCCAATCTGATGTCTGCTAACATGGTCATAACTTTCTTTTGAAATTCTGAAAATAACCAAACAATGAAAATGTTTTGAAAAATAGATGAGAATCAATCTAGGCATTCCAATTTGGTAAGAGAGAACGATACTAGTAAATTTCTACTTAATTTACCCTAAAATTAAGCTGCTCAATTTGATTTACCCTCAGTTTTTTTCTTGATTTCACTATCCAGAGACTTGGTCCCCTATCAGCCATGTGTTAACACTTGCACCAAATGACCCAACACGTCAACATATTTACACCTAGTGACACAACACGTCAACATATTTTCACCTGGTGACACAACACGTCAACATATTTTCACCGAGTGACACAACACGTCAACATATTTACACCTAGTGACACAACACGTCAACATATTTACACCTAGTGACACAACACGTCAACATATTTACACCTAGTGACACAACAGGTCAACATATTTTCACAGAGTGATACAACACACCAACATATTTTCACCGAGTGACAACACATCAACATATTTTCACCGAGTGACACAACACATCAACATATTTTCACCGAGTGACACAACACATCAACATATTTTCACCGAGTGACACAACACACCAACATATTTTCAACGAGTGACACAACACGTCAACATATTTTCACCTAGTGACACAACACGTCAACATATTTTCACCGAGTGACACAACACGTCAACATATTTACACCTAGTGACACAACACGTCAACATATTTACACCTAGTGACACAACACGTCAACATATTTACACCTAGTGACACAACAGGTCAACATATTTTCACAGAGTGATACAACACACCAACATATTTTCACCGAGTGACAACACATCAACATATTTTCACCGAGTGACACAACACATCAACATATTTTCACCGAGTGACACAACACACCAACATATTTTCACCGAGTGACACAACATGTCAACATATTTTCACCGAGTGACACAACACATAACATATTTTCACTAAGTGACACAACACGTCAACATATCAGATGTAGCAACATACTTCCTGTTCATTATATAAGAACAGCTAAAAATCAACAGATCATTTGTTATAACAATGAAAAGAAACATCAGCATGTATAAAATATATTAAAATTACATTCTAATTGTCTATTATACATGACTTCAGTCAGCTGGGCAAGCTCGTTGGGCCGAGAAGAAACACAAACAACCAAACAACTGAATAGAATTGAATTTGGTCGTTTATTTTGTATATTTTAAGAGCATACAAATACTGCAGTGATATTGAGAGGAATCTGAATGCAAAAAAAACGACCAAAACCCGCCATGGCTGAGATTTTGGTTCATTACTTACTTGCCGTTGACATTGGATATGCCGAAGTGCCCCTGGTATATGTCTGGATGAGGACTGCTCGATTGTTCTATTGGCACTGTGCCTTCTTGGTGACCTTCTTGGAGATGCTAATGTAGGAAGAGGAGAGGGGCTGGATGCTAGTGACCAAGTCTTTCCGACCATCCTGTAGGAGATTTCCTTCTTGGCTCCATCCTGTTGTTAGCTCTCAAGCCTGATGTGATATTGAAATACAAATTGAAAATTTATACAAAAAGTCCCATAAACAAGACATATCATAGTCATTATGATAGCTCCAAATAATTTTCTTTTAGTAGATTTAACATATCTAAAGCAAGTGTCAACCTATGTGTGTGCAACGGAGGTGGCGTTACACTCCTTGGAACTGATGCTAGACACCTTACAGGAGGTGGCGTTACACTCCTTGGAACTGATGCTAGATGCCTTACAGGAGGTGGCGTTACACTCCTTGGAACTGATGCTAGACGCCTTACACAGGAGGTGGCGTTACACTCCTTGGAACTGATGCTAGACGCCTTACAAGAGGCGGCGTTTCACTCCTTGGAACTGATGCTAGACGCCTTACAGGAGGTGGCGTTACACTCCTTGGAACTGATGCTAGACGCCTTACACAGGAGGTGGCGTTACACTCCTTGGAACTGATGCTAGACGCCTTGGAACTGATGCTACACGCCTTACAGGAGGTGGCGTTACACTCCTTGGAACTGATGCTAGACGCCTTACAGGAGGCGGCGTTACACGCCTTGGAACTGATGCTAGATGCCTTACAGGAGGTGGCGTTACACACTTGGAACTGATGCTAGACGCCTTACAGGAGGTGGCGTTACACTCCTTGGAACTGATGCTAGACGCCTTACATGAGGTGGCGTTACACTTCTTGGAACTGATGCTAGACGCCTTACAGGAGGCGCCGTTACACGCCTTGGAACTGATGCTAGCCGCCTTACAGGAGGTGGCGTTCCACTTCTTGGAACTGATGCTAGACGCCTAACAGGAGGCGGCGTTACCCTCCTTGGAACTGATGCTAGATGCCTTACAGGAGGTGGCGTTACACCCTTGGAACTGATGCTAGACGCCTTACAGGAGGTGGCGTTACACTTCTTGGAACTGATGCTAGACGCCTAACAGGAGGCGGCGTTACACTCCTTGGAACTGATGCTAGACGCCTTACAGGGGGCGGCGTTACACTCCTTGGAACTGATGCTAGATGCCTTACAGGAGGCGGCGTTACACTCCTTGGAACGGATGCTAGACGCCTTACAGGAGGCGGCGTTACACCCCTTGGAACTGATGCTAGACGCCTTACAGGAGGTGGCGTTACACTCCTTGGAACTGATGCTAGATGCCTTACAGGAGGCGGCGTTACACTCCTTGGAACGGATGCTAGACGCCTTACAGGAGGCGGCGTTACACCCCTTGGAACTGATGCTAGACGCCTTACAGGAGGTGGCGTTACACTCATTCAAACTGGTGTTATAAATGTACGCGTTGGAGAAGGCCACGTTGCACACCTTGGAGGAGACAGCGTTACATTCCTTCTAGGGGACGTTTCACGCCTTGGAGGAGTGATGGGGTTTGGTGCCTTTGACCTGAGTTTTGATGGTGGTTGAGGTAGAGCGTGTAGTGCTGCAAGGAAAAAAATACAAGATACCGACATATATTTGTGTAGCATTTTGACTCAAGTTCTGTGAGAGTAATTGAGTTTGATGCCTGCCGTCAACAAGACTCGGCAACACATATTAATACACTCGAACATATCATTATTATTATATGCCTAACAGCCCATCAATACAAAAAGGTCACTTGGGACAAACATATAATGATATAGTAAAAAGAAAGAAGTTTGTTTGCTCACCAGTGTAAAAGTCACTAAAAACACGCCTTTTTCTTTCTCTTGAAACTCGTTGGTCATTTTCCTCCTTCTCATCCTCTGTCTCTACAGCTGAAGTGAGATCGTATGATTCACACTCGGCTCTGCTCTCTGTGTAAGATAAACATAACTAGTGAGTATGTAATTTGAATAGCAACAGTTAGTTACACTCCATCATCACTGCAAAGCATGTATACTACTGACAATTTACTATTGCTTGATAAAGCCAAAAAATTAAATAACCATACCGAAATTGAAATTCAGATAGTAATTGCGGATAAAAAACAAACATGACCAGAATGAAAAAAAGATGTGATAAATACTGTACCTGATATTAATTTCTCCTTAATAAGAACATTTGCCATGAGGCATTTGGGACCTTTCCTGAGGTCATGGCTCTCAGCACATTAGTGACATTTGGCCAATGGACCGTCTCATCTCTGATCCAATTACTTGGAACAGTCCCTTCCTCTTCCCTCCCTTCTTCCTTCCAGGCGGCGCATACCCAAAGCATTCTAAAAGGTAAAAAAACCATGATATGACAAATTGTTTATAAAAAAAATAAAACGTGTGAGAATGATACAACTTTAAGTTAAAAGACTGATAATTTTTTAAATTTATTATTAGGTGCTTATGTTGTCAATTTGCAGCCATTACAATGCAGTGATCATGAGAAGAATAAAAACTAATAACCAAAGACTGTCCAGTGTTCTCCACAGGCTGTTTTTTGCAGCATTGCACCATGCTCCTATACTTTTTGCCATGCTGCTATCCTAGATCTTTATGTCCCTTTATGTCGTTCCATGCCGTGCAGCAGAGGAGCAAGTACAAATCCTCTTTCATAAGGCAAGCATACAACTTTCCTGAGGACTTCTGAAGGATCCACCAGTCTGCGTTGTGATCTTTGGAAATTTCTAATGAAGGTGATGTTAATCAATTTGGATTCACAAGGCGCAGTGAACAAGTTGTCAGTTTGATTAATGACATTACACGCCAGTTTTCCATCATCCTTCTTTTCCAGCACAAATGCAAAGTCCTCATTCTTCAACAAGAGACAGCCATTCCTTTTGTTGGACGAAATATATGCAAGGCTAGAATAAGCATTGCTTGTCTGGGTTCCAGCATATTCAATCTCCGATATTCGCTTTCCAACTTAGCCAATCGGATTATTGGCAGATTTCACTAATCGTTTTTAAAATCTGGAGGTGATTCTCAAATGGAAATGCCGAAATTGAATTTAGTGAACACTGGAATATCCTGACGTCATTGGCAAGGTGTTTTAGTCCATGTACATTGTAGACAAGGAAGGACTCCGAGTAAATATCTGGACTATTGTCTACAAAATAGTTCAGCAATTGTCCTGCATAGCCAAGATAAGCTTCTCTCTTCATACTATCAGAATCCAGGAGAATGGAGACTGCTACAGTAAGACACAGAAAGTGGTGATAAGCTGTTTTGTGAAGAATTCCTTTCAACACGATAGGTCCGGTGTACAGATGAAACTGACGGAATTCTGTTGCCTTCCATCGTTCATGTTCTGCGAGTGGTCGAGGTTGTCTTGCAAACTCTGATTGCAGTGTTCCAGAAAAGCTAACAAGACTTGAAGAAATGTCTCCTATATGCCGCTGTGACAGCTTACATGTTGCAGGACCATGTTTGAAAAACCAAACAATTCGTTTCACAACTCCAAGACAAACTAGGTGCATTTAGTCCAAACAGAAGCCTGTTACACATGGACATTTAGCTTCAGCTAAGGGTGAAATACAAATCTGATGGTCGGTGTATTCACAACTTTCAAATTTTGTGTCAGTTCTTTCAGGAAAGTCTCCATTGAATACGACCCTGTTGTTTTGCCAAGTTCCTTTGGTCACACAACGTTCACACGCATAGTAACCAGTATGTCCCTTTGTGCATTTTGCAGGTGCATCACAAACAAAAGCCTTTATTTGTGTTTTGATAGCAGTATCTTTGAACACTATTCCATTTGCCTAAAGTTTTGTGTACTCTGTTAGGAAATTTTCCAAGAAGTCACCTACAGAGTTTGGTTTCTTTTCTCCATAAAAAAGGGATACAACAAATGGTTTGTAATTGTCAAAAGTACAAATAATTGGCCAAAACTGGGTTCCAGATGACTTGAAAAGTGGAATTCCATCAATGTTTACAAGCAGGTCAATGCGATCAGGAATTCTCTCACTTTATTATCCCTGCCTCCAAGCCGAAATGTGTATTTCCCTCTGCACCTATTCTCAATGGGGATTTCTCTTGGGGTTTGCAATAGAGTTCTAGCATCTTTTGGTACGGGGATATCTTCATCTCTCAATATTCCTAGTAGCTCATTAATGCTAGCTCTTGTCTGATGATTTTTTGTTGCCCATTCAGCTAGCTTTTCCCTTATATTCGATGAATCGGGTAGTCAGACCAGGAATACATGTATCATCCTCAGAATCAGATGAGTCGTCCCATTTTATTGAACATTGAATCATCTCCTTCATGTCCACTGGACTATTCTGTTTCTGTAAGATCATTTGAGGAAGAAGGCTCAGATGTAGGTCTGATTTGTTCATGTTCACACTTGTTAACAACAGGTGCCTCATGCACAATGCTTTCATCTTCACTACTGGATTCCAATTCAACAGTAACTGCTGCATTTACTTTTCTCCAGCGTCGCAAGTAAGCCATTTGATCACCTATAAACACAATGTAAAACCATGCATCATGCTTAAACTTAGTACATTAGCGATTACTGAATTATACTAAATGTGCTAACACTTATTTTTGTTTTTATTTATCAGCTTCCATGCTTCTGAAATGTATGCCATTTAATTTACTTTAAAGTTGGCTATTTATAAATTAAAGCACCAATTTTAAAATTGACAAATTAAATGAGCTGCGCATATGCATCGAGAATTATTTTGTAGAAAATACAAATTAAATTCTCAATTTGTAAAGTATAATATCAAGATAAACAAGTTATACACCTCGTTACCTGGTACATTAATTTGTACATTATGATTTGATCGTCACCAATTATTATGGGAAATGTTAAACATTCAAAAGAACTAATACTTAAACTTATCTACTTGGTGCATCGAATTCTGCATACCAATATATATAAATTATAGACCTAATTTACGAGTTACGTCCCTTCTCAATGTTACGTAGACTAGTATGCCTGTTTATAGAACCATCCATTTACTCAGAGCAACTATTCACCATAGAAATTTACAAATACGTACATAACTATGCACAGGAATCAGTCCTAGTCAACCATATATAGATGCTCAATGATACTGCCAGATAGAGTCCTAGTCAACCACATATATAGATGCTCAATGATACTACCAGATAGAGTCCTAGTCACCCATATATAGATGATCAATGATACTGCCAGATAGAGTCCTGGTCAACCATATATAGATGCCCAATGATACTGCCAGATAGAGTCCTGGTCAACCATATATAGATGCCCAATGATACTGCCAGATAGAGTCCTGGTCAACCATATATAGATGCCCAATGATACTGCCAGATAGAGTCCTGGTCAACCATATATAGATGCCCAATGATACTGCCAGATAGAAGCCTAGTCAACCATATATAGATGCCCAATGATACTGCCAGATAGAGTCCTAATCAACCATATATAGATGCTCAATGATACTGCCAGATAGAGGTTGTAATATATAACGATGCAGATGTCATGGACATGGAGCTCGATCGCCAGGTGATTACAAAACTGGCACGTAGAACACGATATTTTTAAGAATATTGAAGTAATTGGAACCTAACTCAGCAAAGTCATTTGATTTCATGGCGAAATTATTACAGTAATAGCAAATGCTAGTTCACTTTACGCGGTATGCGCGAGAGCAGTCAATTCTGAACTCGTCCATAATCCATTCAATGGCATGCATGTAAACAAAAACAAATGAAACACGTGTTAGTGGTCACACTAGGCTAAGTTGCGGTAATTGATTGAAAAACACAAAAATAAGAAGGGTTACATACCTTGAAGTTTGTAAAAAGTGGAGGAACAGCGGAAAAATGATAATATATTATAGCTGATTCACTGGTCAGTCGTGGTCAGTGATGGTCAACGAACAAAGGGACCGGAAGTAGAAATGAACTACGCGTAAAGTAATACTAATGCATATTTATGCACTTTGTTAAGTTGTTTTCGTGATTTGTAGTGACCCCTATTGGAGAGGAAACACAAATAAAGGGAGATAAGCGGTTTGTCTTGAGCGAATTAAAGTGTCCATGGCACATTTTCACTTCGTAAACGTATCATTTTAAGACTACGGTTTGTAAAGCATGATCCTGTAACAGAGACATACTTTAATAACGTGTATTTCAATTGTTATTTATTATTCATAATTTTAAATAACATGCATTTCAATATTTATTTAATATGCATAAGTTGGGGTACGACCTAAACCAGACGTCGTCACGATGTCAGTTGCAGACGTCGGTATTACGTCTAGAAAAAACGTCCTCCTGAAATTAGATTAAGGTTGCCGATGTCGCGACCACAATATGACATCGTCCCGACGTAAGATTAAGGTTGCCGACGTCGCGACAATAATACGACGTCCTCCCGACCTCTATACATTTTGTGCCCACTGGGAGGGGTCACTTAAAAAATCTTTAAATAACCTCTTCTGAATAACCTATAGGCCTAGGATAATGATATTTGGCCAGTAACATGCTAGGATAAAGGGCTACTAAGTTTTGTTAAAATGAATGACCTTTACCTATATTCACAGGGGTCAAATATGTTTAAAACCTTTAAACAGCTTCTCAATAACTAAGAGGCCGAGGGTGATGCTATTCGACCAGTAGCATGCTGTAATAGAGGGCTACCAAGTTTGTTCAAATAAATGACCTTGACTTACATTCAAGGTCACAGGGGTCAAATATGTTTAAAAACTTTAAACAACTTCTTCTGGATAACCAATAAGCCTAGGATAATGATATTGGGCCAGTAACATGCTGGGATAAAGGGCTACCAAGTTTGTTCAAACAAAAGACCTTTACTTATATTCAAGGTCACAGGGGTCATATATGTTTAAAACCTTTTAACAACTTCTTTTGAATAACCAAGAGACCTAGGATAATAATATTTCGTCAGTAGTTTGCTGGGATGAAGGGCTATCAAGTTTTTTCAAGGTCACAGGGGTCAAATGTGTTAAAATCTTCAAATCCACCTGCATGCTTGTTGTTGACTAATGACACATAAACGTCTTTGTTTGAAATGTCTCTTGCTGTTTTTTTATCATCCAAAGCTTCTTCATCATCATCATCATCACTATTAAGCAATTGTGATTTCCTCATCTTTGCTGGTCTACTCAACATTGGAAAGACTTCTGAGTCAGAGGTGTCAGAGGTGTCAGCTGAGTCAGAGGTGTTCGCTGAATTCTCAACGATGATCACTTTCTTTTGTAGCTGTTATTTTGCCAATCATCTATCTTTATTCTGGCCTATTGATTGCCATCCTCAGATTCTATGGAACCATCCGGGCCAGTAACTGTCACTGTAGTTCCTTGTTGATTGCCATCCTCGGTTTCCATGGAACCATCGGAGCCGTCCACTGTCACAGTAGTTCCTTGTGGATTGCCATCCTCGGATCCTCCGGAACCATCAGAGCAGTCCACTGTATCTGTAGTTCCTTGTAGATTGCCATCCTCAGATTTCATGGAACCTTTGGAGCAGTCCACTGTCACTGTAATTCCTTGTGGATTGCTGTCCTCAGATTCCATGGAACCATCGGAGCAGTCCACTGTATCTGTAGTTCCTTGTAGATTGCCATCCTCAGATTCCATTGAACCATCGGAGCCATCCGATGTCACTGTAGTTCCTTGTGGATTGCCATCCTCGGATTCCCCGGAACCATCGGAGCCGTCCACTGTCACAGTAGTTCCTTGTGGATTGCCATCCTCGGATCCTCCGGAACCATCGGCGCAGTCCACTGTATCTGTAGTTTCTTGTAGATTGCCATCCTCGGATTCCCCGGAACCATCGGAGCCGTCCACTGTCACAGTAGTTCCTTGTGGATTGCCATCCTCCGATCCCCCTGAACCATCGGGGCAGTCCACTGTATCTGTAGTTACTGTAGATTGCCATCCTCAGATTCCATGGAACCATCGGAGCCATCCACTGTCACTGTAGTTCCTTGTTGATTGCCATCCTCGGATCCTCCGGAACCATCGGAGCAGTCCACTGTATCTGTAGTTCCTTGTAGATTGCCATCCTCAGATTCCATGGAACCATCGGAGCAGTCCACTGTCACTGTAATTCCTTGTGGATTGCTGTCCTCAGATTCAATGGAACCATTGGAGCCATCCACTGTCACTGTAGTTCCTTGTGGATTGCCATCCTCGGATTCCATGGAACCATCAGGGCTTACAACTGACTCTCTGATTTCCTGCTGATTGCCATCCTATACAATAATGCAGTAGTTTGTATTTTATTGTATTGCATTAAAGCCTGCATGGCATAGGACATTAGGTAAAATGCATGCTTTTTAAAAAAAGCTTTTCTAACTTAAGTTAATTTCTTACTATGAAACTACATCACAGAAGGCTTGAAGATGAGGTTTCGAAGAACATTGCCAAGGAAATGATTTCAGTAAATTCCTAAAACAATGACTGATGAAATGAAATATACCTTTTTTAGTAATTCTCTCGATGGCCCAAATTAAATCTGACAAAAATGCATCAAACGTTGCTGGCTTCCTCTTTAAAGATTCTAAAAACATGAAACAGGAACAGCAAAGCTCGCTTGTTGATGACCTATTTCGTGTAACTACCAAATACTTATCAAACATGCAGCACACTTACATGTTACATTTTAGTGTGATAGTTATTTGATCAGAAGAACTACATTAAAGTGAGGATTTGATTTTTTTTTTTCAACATTTGTGACCCAGAAGTGCTTGTAAAAAATTTAACCTAAAAGATTAATAATATGTACCAGAAATTTACCCCTTTTGGCTCTCACAAATATGTCTGATACGGTTTGACTTATCACTTAAAAATTCTTATGAATGTTAAAATTATTTAAAAACTAGCAGCCTCTTGAGATTTGTGATCTAGTACTGCTAAAACCTAAACATTCATGGTGGGATGCTGCTGACGTCAGGGTGACTACATAAGCCCCCTTACCCCCTATTCTTTGAATTGGAGAGCTAAAAAATTATATTATCTCCTGGTAATTAAGTTAATCTTCTTGGACCTCAAGTTATGGTTCCTGATCAGAACACATGAGGCCCAAACAGTCACCTGTCCTAACCTACTCCCATTGACAGTATTCTCACTTGGATGCTGACTAGCTGTAAGCATCTTTTTGATCACTAATAGTTAGCCATATTTGAACAGTCGATTTACAACTACCATTCACTACAGCTCTACATATTCAGTGCTAAAGTAGTCCTGATGATATAAACTTAAACATAACAGTAAATATCCACTGAATACACAAGAATTAACTTTCGAAATATTGATATACTGTACAAGAGAGAAATGTTAAAAGCGTACAGTTTGGTAAAATTACAAACATAAACATAGTTGGGTTAGTAAAGGTTTGCATGCATGAAAATACACTATACAGTAAAATGATCATTAATGGTCTTAGCCAATCACATAGCCTCAGAGTCCTCGTGACAGCTAGTGTTCCCGGGGATCCAAAATCAAGATCTAACAAAATTACATCCACTTCAGAATTTGTTTATTTTTATTCAATTTTCCCCAACAAATGAGCTGATGTTCGCAGCTTCTCTTTGTCATGCAACTTTCATACAAAATACATTAACATTAAACGTACATTTTTTCATGTAATTTGTAGGGGTTTATTGTACTCAACTTCTGAACTGAAAGGGTACATTTTCCCTTTGACTTATATATTAAAACCATTGACTGAAAAACACAATGATTTTGTTCATTCAATGTCTAATGCACCAATTGATTTAAGAATTTGCACTAAAATAACAAACTGTTGGTGGTCTATAAAACTAGTACTGAAGGTAAATAAGCTGCTGGCAATAATAGTCCATAAAATTCATTATAGTTTTGGTAAACAAGATGCTGGTGAGCAGGAAAATTTTGTTTNAAATTTCATGCGCCCGGCACCCTTGTTAGGATAAAATAATATGTTAACTGCTTGGCCACCACACTTACTTGGCTTAATGTAGCAATGTACTTCCTCATGGATACAAGGATACAGAAGTGATGCGCTCGGGGGCTCCAAGATTCAATTTGGCACAAACTTCTTTGAGAGAATCATAAGCCCTCATTACACCATCGCCTGGTTCACACAGAATAAGATAAGTAAGATAATTAACATAATAAAGAATTTTCATTAGGTCTTATTCAAAATTGAGTGCAAACATCATCAAACATTATTTTGAATTTCAAGCAACATGCAGTGTCTTAAAATATCTTTTAATTTTGTAAAGACAATTGGTCTATGGACAATGGAGATTCCATAGACCAGTTTGGTATCTGTTTATTGTACCGAATGGATATATATATTTTTTCGATTCTATTTGAATTAAAAAATGTTGGGGACTGAATTGTCCCTTTAAAGATTTTTTTTTGTTCCTTTGTCAAATTTCCTCCGTTATGTTTTTTACAATACCGGACCAATTTCAAAGCCAAACTGAACTCGCAGGAACAACAACAGAATGCATCTAACCTTATAAGCTTCTAACCCTGTGTGGCATCCAGCCTTCATTTGGCCCATTACATTTTAATTGCACACCCTTTATAATAAAATGAATTTTAGCTAAAAGTATAACAAAAATATTTTACCAGTGTTTGCAAATACGTAATGTATTCCAGGTTTTTACACCAACTGCTCGTCTTACATCTTTTGCTGTGATGAATGCGAGTGGTTTTTGGGTATCTTCTGGTACAAGGATAGGGACCATTTTGCCATTCTGTTAAATATTGTTTCAATATTTAGGGCTATTCCAGTAAAATATAAATCCAACCGGAAGAATTCAGAAAAAAAGAAATTCTATGTGGGTGTTGGAGAAAATGCAGCCTATTTAGTACTATTTGAGTTAAATCATTGGGTAGATATTTTACTGGAATCAATCCTCATCAAACTTAAGAAGTCTTCAGATTCTTTTTTCATTTCCTGATTCCCTGTGCGTATTGCAATTCCAAGTTTAATGTTGGTCAGCCTGCAAACATCATGACCCATCTTGACTGCAGCTGTAGGGAATTTCAAGTCTTCCTCATCATCATTTTCCATAGTTGCACATGAAAGCGCGGCTTGACACATTTTATCAAACAAAGCGGGAACAATATAGTTCATCATCGCCATATTTGTTCCGCTCAAAGATCTCAAATTCTGATGCAACCTTGCTGTGCCCATCATTCTAGAAGATGTGTAAGTTGTTCTTTTCAACTAGCTTATTCCCCTGATTTCGTCGAAACCAGTTATAACCTAACGCGACTATCAACTGGTCGCCTTATGCTGTTGCAGTGAGTTCATTTCGCATCATGATTGGATATACTTCAGATAGTAGTTTACTGGATGGACCCTCTTTTATGTCACAAATTAACACAGAGAATCTCACAAGTGCTTCCCCTTTGGACATCTGCTTCTCGCTTGCTCTTCTTGACGGGCATACCTTCTGGTGTTTACTGTTATATAACTCTATTCTTATCCATTGCACACAATTTGGGCAAGGCCCATAATCATCCGATTTGAAAGTGCTCTTTTCTTTGCAATGATTAACTCTTCTTTCCCTGCCTTCTTCCTACGGAGTGGTTGTGAAGATGGTCTCCCATATTTCTAAATAAAGCTTGCCTATGTTTAGCTAAATCTTTACTCTCGGAGTTCTTGAGTGACTTGACCTGTTTTGTTTCCTTTATGCGTGAGCAAATGTTTGACGATATTGTTTGACAAAGTTTTGCATATGAAACAACAATGGTAGTTATATGTCCGTCCCGTCCCGATTCAATGTAAACACTTAGCAACTTCATTCTTTGACAGGTTTTCTTCAAACTTTATACAAAGGTCAAGTATGAGTATACTTCGGACATCGTTGTATTGCAGGGATCCAAGGTCAAGGCCAAGGTTACACTTACTATATATAGAAAATCGTCCTGTCCCGTCCCGATTCAATGTAAACACTTAGCAACTTCATTCTTTGACAGATTTTGGTCAAACTTTATACAAAGGTCAAGTATGGGTATACTTTTGACATCGTTTTATTTCAGGGATCCAAGGTCAAGGCCAAGGTCACACTCGCTATATATAGAAAATCATCTACCGATTCAATTTAAACACTTAGCAACTTCATTCAATATGTTATGGAGATGGTAATAACATACAGAAAAAACATATGAATATTAAAATCAACTTTAAGTGTAAATAGTGCCTTGTGTGTGTGCATGTTTCAGGGTATCAAGATCAAAGTGGTTGTATCTTTTTATAGAACACTGAAACTAATTTCACATGGCAGCGGGGGCATTTATATAAATGTCTTTCAGACATTTTCTAGTTTCAATATGTATTAAGATTTTCATCAACTACACAAAGGGGGCATTCATGTCTTACAGACATTTTATAGTTGTTAAACACATTGCGCTCGTTGAGAGATGTCAGTTTTGGATACTTTAGGGAATTTTCCTTTTACAATTGAAACCATTGTTTCATACACTCTGGAGCCAAATTTCGGTTTTGGGGCTCTAGCTTTATTTGGGGCCGGTCCACAAATTCTTCCGTGGGTCCTGAAATATTCCATGCTGAGCAAACTTATCGACAAAATGTGTACACAATTTAACAGTGTGTCAGTGTGACATACAAGGTCCTGCATTTGTTCTTAGGTTTTGCCGTTGAGTAATCCAGGTTGGCAATTTAATGGACTTAATATGGAGGGTTTTACTTCAACAGTCCTCTTTCCTTGATCTGCAATTGCACAGGTTCTGGTTGAGCCGGCGGAGGTGATATTCCTGCATCATCTCTCCAAATCCCTCTCCGACAAGAAAAGCTGAACTCCTGTTGTGTTAAATTTGAAATCTTTATAATGTTTTCCATATAGTAATTTACATAAAAGTTTACCTTACCATACACAATTTCCAGTCTGTCTTAGTTTTGTAGTAGTGGACGGCAAGATTTCCCCGTTGGTGTACATCCGAGTACAACTGCGTGAAAAGAGGTTTTGTTGCCTGTGAATACTACCGCATTTTTAGCTCATCTGAAGGACCTTTATATATATATAGTGAGCTTATGCCGTGGCGCAGCTTCCGTCGTCGTCATCCGTCGCCAACTTTTTCTTTAAAACCTATCTCCTCCTTAACGCCAAAGAGGATTTCAACCAAATTTAGCCTGAAGCATCACTAGGGGAGGGCAATCATATCTTAAATAAATAAGGTTGGTTCTATCCCTGGGGCCAAGGTCCTGAAGGGGAACTTAGATAAATTTGCTTTAAAACACATCTCCTCCTAAACGCCAGAGCAGATTTCAACCAAATTTGCTCTGAAACTTCATTGGGGAAGGGCAATCATTTCTTAAATAAATGAGACTGGTTTGACCCCTGGGGCTAAAAAGACCGGGCCCAAAACAGGAAAATTATTTAATATTTTGCTTTAAGATGCTGATACCCCCTAATTGCCTGAGTGGATTGTACAAAATTTGGTCAAAAACATTATTGAGAAAGAACAAACATTTCTTAATTGAATGCGGTCCTAAGAAATGGTACAGCTAGATTATCATATTCTATGGTGTAGTTTTCATAAATTGTTAAAAATTGGTTTCTAGGTTTATAAAAGCTTATATTTGAATGAAAATTAAAGTATTGTCTAATTACACTCTGTAATAATTGGCATATTACTTATTTCAAAATCTGTTAACATGGCAACTCAAGGAAGGCCCCTGATTAGTTGAAAGTCAGATATTGTCGTCCAAGTTGGGTTACGACATAGATCTTGTCTGGTTTTGAGGAAATTTCATATCGAGATGTACTAATGCATTCAGTTGTAATGACTTAAATATAAAACCAGGTGAGCGATACAGGTCCAATGGACCTCTTGTTTAATCTTGTCTGCAAGTTGGTCCTGTTAAAGAAAGTTAATGATTTTGTTTGCCCATTTCGCCTGGGTGCTGGCTATTTCGGCCCACTCTTTTTCGTGAAGTTCTCTTTGTCCTCTTGGTTCCGTAATGCTTGTCCAACTTTGATTTGAGCAATCTTTCTCAATGAGTGGCCAAGCTTCAGGGCCAAAGCTGGTTTTAAATATTGTTCACAACTTCTGTTAAATGTTTCTCCCTGTTCATTGTTCACAACCTCTGATAAATGTTTCTCCCATCATTGTTCACAACCTCTGATAAATGTTTCGATTCTCCCTGTTCATTGTTCACAACCTCTGATTAATGTTTCTCCCTGTTCATTGTTCACAACCTCTGATAAATGTTTCTCCCATCATTGTTCACAACCTCTGATAAATGTTTCTCCCTGTTCATTGTTCCCAACCTCTGATAAATGTTTCTCCCTGTTCATTGTTTTACAACTTTTTCAAAGAGTGGATTATAAATCATGTCAAACTTCCCAAGGGTAGGAAAGCTGCTGAATGTTAGATCCTTGGACTGTTCCTTTGCAGACTTATTCAGTACACAAATAAGATGTCCCAGCTCCCTAAGTTTTTGTCTGACATTAGCAACCCTCTCTTTCCCAACCTTCTGCAACATCTTCAATCCCAAGAGGATTAAGAGTTTGTCCTTCTTTACTACCGTGACTTTATCAACCATACCATACACAACATTTTGTAGAAACTTTTTTTCATCTGGGTATGCTAAGGGTCCTTGCAGAAGAAGAGTTGAGGATTTGTTTTACAGATTTCTCATCTCTCTCTGCATCTTTATTTAATCTAGAAAGGACTATGTATGGTTTGGGCCTGTTTTGGCCCCCAAATGCATCAAAATTCAAAACCTTTAAATGAACTTTGAAATGACTGTTTCTTTTTGAATACTTCCTAAATACTATTATGAAAATATTTATTTATATTTCTAATTATTGTTGCCATGGTAACAAGTTCAAATTGGCATAAATTAGAAAAATTTGAATATTCAGTGAATATTGGGATATTTTGCATAGTTTTTCTCCTAGAAACTATAGAGTGCATGCTTGAACAAACTTAATATCATAGGATAATGTGTAGGCACCTGTAATACATCTTTAAGAGAAATATAAAGTTTGTTCAAGAGTGCGCTCTATGGAAGCTAAGAGAAACTAGGTGAAAACCTGTCAAAATTGACTGAATAATCAAATTTCAATAATTTATGCAAATATGACCTGGAGGGAGATAATAAACCAATCAACAAACAATCTGCTGTATAATCTTATTATATACTTACTCCATTGCCTCTGATGGAACATTGTGCCATGATCATCTTCCTGGTCATTTAAAGAGGTCACATTTGGTTGAAGTTGGTTATCCATGTCTAGTAAAACACCCATACTGTTTACGAATGTTCCGTCCCATGATTTTACTGGTGATACATCTTCAAATAGCACTGTTCTGCAAGATGGTGTATATGTAGGTTGGGGAAGAGATAGTGTGCACGGCGCTGAAAATGTTGAATTCTGGCAAGATTTTTGCAAAGGATTGATGCTACGTGGCGACGTTCTGCATGACGGCATAGAGATACGAGTACGAGTGTAATCTCGGCGTGTTGGCGTTCTGCTTGACGGCGTAGAGATACGAGTGCGAGTAGAATCTTGGCGTGTTGGCGTTCTGCGTGACGGCGTAGAGATACGAGTACGAGGAGAATCTTGGCGTGTTGGCGTTCGGCGTGACGGCGGAGAGATACGAGTACGAGTAGAATCTTGGCGTGTTGGCGTTCTGCTTGAGGGTGTAGAGTTACGAGTACGAGTAGAATCTTGGCGTGTTGGCCTTCTGTGTGACGGCGTAGAGATACGAGTACGAGTAGAATCTTGGCGTGTTGGCGTTCTGTGTGACGGAGTAGAGATACGAGTACGAGTAAGAGTAGAATCTTGGCGTGTTGGCGTTCTGCGTGACGGCGGAGAGATACGAGTACGAGTAGAATCTTGGCGTGTTGGCGTTCTGTGTGACGGAGTAGAGATACGAGTACGAGTACGAGTAGAATCTTGGCGTGTTGGCGTTCTGTGTGACGGAGTAGAGATACGAGTACGAGAACGAGTAGAATCTTGGCGTGTTGGCGTTCTGTGTGATGGAGTAGAGATACGAGTACGAGTACGAGTAGAGTCTTGGCGTGTTGGCGTTCTG